TACCTCATGTTTATGTGTATGAGTGTCTTGCTTGCCTATATGTTACATGTATGCATGGGCACCTTATACATGCCTGGTGCTCGGGGAGGTCGGAAGAAGACATCGGATCTTTGAGGTCTGGAGTTACAGATGCTCGTGAGCTGCCCTGTGGGTGCGGGGCTCTAAAACTGGGTAGTCTCGAAAGAGCATCAAGTGTTCTTAACCACTGGCCACGTCTCCAGCCCCACTCGGCGAACTTTCTAAGCCACCATGCTTGTCACAGCTTGATGCTCATTTCTATCTATGAGCAACCACTGACAGGATAAGCCTGGCCCTGTTTCCACGAAATCATGCTCATTTTCCTGAGCTGTCTCATCTTCATGAAATCAGGCTTATTTTTATAAACTGCTTCAGTCCATTGAGTACTTGCAAAATAGCACTGTTATCAAAATGCACTCTCAATGGGTTAAGCAGTATTGGCTCCATTTCAAAGCTGGATGTAGCAGACATACTTGGAATCTCAGCACTTGGAGACAGAGGAAGGTCAAGACCACATAGCAAGACTGTATCAAAAACCAAAATAAAATCAAAACAACAACAACAAAGCTGTCTTCCCTAAAAAAACATATATCCAAGTCCCTCCTTACAAATCGCTTCAGAGATGAAAATCAGGGGTGCTGGATAAAGGGATGGGGTATAGCTGGCAGGTGGTCAGATACAAATGACCATAAAATTCATGGTGCTGTGGATTAGCAAGCATTTGGAACAGAGAACGTTTTCCTGGCGGGGAACATTTCTCTGAAGAAAGGAAACATTTGCCAAGAGTCAGAAACGTACTGCTCCAACGAGGAAATAAAGAATTCCAGGAAGACGAGCAGAGGGCATGGGGAGCGTTTGCCTGGAAAGCTGGGTGCTCAGGAGGAGGAGGAGGTCAGCTTCGCTGGGCGTTTGATTCACTAGCACAGGCCAAGGGCTTAGCACTAACACAGCTTGGAGTTCGGTTCTGAGTCATACTTTGGACAGCTAATGAAACGCACCCCAGTGGCTGATGTGGAGAAACCTAGAATTTATTACCTACTATTCGGGGAAAGGAAAAGGAAGTGACAGTTGCCTGATGATTAGAGTCCGAATAACTATGTGTCGCCACCCGCCCTGGGGATCGGAGCCTGAATTTAACAAGGTTCCTCCTGACTCATTCATTCACACATTAGTTTCCAGCCCTGCGGATGAGCCAAGTGAAAGAGGTTCTGTAAAAAACTTGCTGAATGGAATCCCTCTGCTTTCAGCAGGGGCAGACAGGATGAGCCTACACCCACCCTGGAAGTTTCTCAAAGGACAACAGTCCATTCCCTTGGCTTGGAATTTTCAGGACCATATGGGTTGACGCGGTGGCATGAGCCTGTGATCCTCCCGAGCGTTCAGGAGGTGGGGGCAGGAGGATCAGAAGGGCAGCCTGGGCCACATGCTTGGCCATCTTGGATCCTATGAGACCCGGTTTTAAATAAACAAGCAAACAAATGCCCCCGCCTTGAGGGGGCACCCTCCCTCATCCTAGCGGGAGGAAATGTACTTATTTGTTGTATGTGAAGGGGAGGCACACGGGTGGGAGAGGATAACTGGCCAAGCCCGTGCTCTGCCAGGTTGGGATCTTGATGACGGAGCTCAGGTCTTCAGGCTTGGTTACCTTTACCTGCTGAGCCGTTCCTGGGCTCCACCCTCTCTCACGTAGGATGGAAATGGATGTAAACGCTGGTGAGAACGTGGAAATAGTCTCCTGAGACCAAAGGGTAGCCACTTCTCAGGGCTGGGCTAGGCTGGGTATGTTAGAGGAGCAGAACCGAGCCAGAGTGTAGCAGAGCACAACTTTCTTTTATTTTTTTAATTAATTTTTTATGTTTTTTTTTTTTTTCAACGTATGCCCTGTGTGCATATACACCTGCACGCCAGACGCGGACGTTAGATCTCCTCGTAGATGGCATTTGAACTCAGGACCTCTGAGTGAGCAGGCCGCGCTCTCAACCGCAGAGCCGTAGGTCAGCAAGCGGCGCCGCCAGAGGGCGCTGCAGGCCGCTTTGGCACTGGTGTAGCGAACGCCCTTGGCGCTGGCCAGTTCGTGCCGGCATAGAAACGAGCTAGACCAGGAGCTAAACCGCAGGGCGGTGAAGAAAGCGTGTCCCGAGGAAAAGCAGGACACGCGCCATCCTGGGGCTCCAAACGCTCAAGGCTGTCCGGGGCCAGTTCTCCGGGCCTCTTCACTCCAAGCTCACAACCTCAGGCCTCAGATGAGTGAGGAGACTAGGTCTCAGCATCCCGGGCGATCTTCCCGATCCTCCGGCCCCCACCAGCCGCGCATCATCATGTTAGACTGGTGTATTGCCGAGGCTTCCATCGCCAGGACCTCCGCGTGTTTAGCCAACGAAGCTCCATCTCCACCTCCGAGAACCCATAACTCTTCCGATCCACGAGCTAGTTAGTGGGTCTCACAACCTTCCTAACGGTCCTCGTGTGATGTCCCCCCCCCCCCACCATAAAATTACTGTTGTTGCTACTTCTTAACTGTAATTTTGCTGCTGTTAAGGATGATGTTTCCCGATGGTCTCAGGCGACCCCTGTGGAAGGGTCGTGGTCCACAGGTTGAGAAACGCTGCTCTGGTGACTCCAAAGTTCCCGGTTTGGCTCTTGGAGTCTCTAGCTCGGTTCTGCACTGCAGTATTCGCTGCCGGAGTGCCAAAGGCAACCCGCAGCGCCCTCTGGAGGCGCCACTCGCTGGCCTGCAACTCTGAGAGCGAGCGGCTCCGGAGGCTCAGCAGTGCCGGGTGCCTGGGGTCTGAACCCTTCTTTGCTAGCTTGCTTCTCTCCAAGGTTTTTCTTTTGGTGTTTCAAGACACAGGGTTTCTCCGTGTAGCCTTGGCTGTCCTGGACTCCCTCTGTAGACCAGGCTGGCCTCGAACTCACAGAGATCTGCTGCCTCTGCCTCCCTGAGCACTGGGATTAGAGGAGTGCGCCAGCGCGCTGGGCTTCTCCAAGGTGCTTCACTGCGCTTCTGGCTTTTGCTGAGGAGGAGTTAACAGCATCTAGGACGGGTCTGCTAGGAGCACATAGAGAGCCAGGCCAGGGTGCTGTCACTGGGAACCTCAAGTGTGGCCAACTAGATGGTGAATCTGGGTCGTACTCCTCGGTATCTCCCAACCTGGTCCTCATCACACTTCCTTTCCTGCCTCAGAAAATAAAGCTTTCATTTCAAGCGTCTGTATCTGAAGTGAGTTTTCCCAGCTTCTACCCCGAACCCGACAGCATCGAAGCCCTCTAAAATACATTCTCGGGGGCTGAGTCGGGGCTCCAGGCATCGCAGCACATTTATCTCAGCAGGCTCGGATGCTCATGGGCACCCTTATTAGAAAGGACCCTAGAGCCGGGCGGTGGTGGCCCTCGCCTTTAACTCCAGCAGTGGGGAGGCAGGTCTCTGTGAGTTCGAGGCCATCCTGGTCTACAGCGAGAGTTCCTGGACAGCCAGGTCTACACAGAGAAACCCTTTTCAAAACAAAATAAACAACAAAAACAACCCCCCAGGAAAAAACAAAACAAAACAAAACCAAAAAACCCTAGAGACTGAGTGGACAACATAGAAGAGAAGGCATTTGGGATGAACATGAACTACGGTTCTGGAAGCTGAGGTTAGCTTGAGTCAAACTTACAGCTTCAGGAGGAGCAAGGTTCTTCTAAAACAGGGCTCCACGCAGGGCATGGTGGCACACACTGTAACGGGGGCCCAGACATTAGCAGCCCCGAGACCTTAGCACAGTTGATTCCATGACGGAAGTTCCATTTCCATTCAGGCTGCAAAGGGCGGCATGCAGGCTGCATGCCTGCCAAAACTACAACAAAGGCCGAATCCGCTAAAGCTCTGGGAAAGTCTCTGCCTGTACTGACCTTGCTTTTTGCCTTCTGTGGGTATGCGTCTGGCTAACTGTTCTTGTTAACTGAAGTAGGTCAAGCCAGACATGATTTTTGTGCTTAAACGCTCATCCTGAGAAAGCGTCAGTGCTGCAACGGGATCCTGAAACCTCAGTGTAGTCGGCAACCAGCTAATAAAGCCTTTCTATAGGCTTGAACCCACGTCTGAGCAGTCTTCACAGTCTTCACAACAACACCTTTCACTTCAGCCCTTTGGTAGGCAGAGACTGGTGGATCGGCATTAGTTCAAGGCCAGCCAGGACCATGTCTCAGAAAAACCAAACAAACAACCGTGATTCTGTCTATACCCAGAGTCTATAATGTAGCCTTCAAGGCTAATCATAGCCCATCTATCCTGACTCATTAGCCTAGATCCCTGTTCTGTGGTCAGTCTACCCCGCCATGGCCAGTGGTGGAGTAAAACAGGAGAGGAACCTAGAGGCCAATGGTTAAAGAACATTCATTCTCAGAGACATGCAAATGAGTCTGTCTCTTCCTTGGTCCTTTCCCCATTCTGTCTCCACTTCAAGTCACTTCCTAGGGAAGCCCATATTCTAACCATCCCCAGTGTCTGGACATGGCAGAACTCACCGCTGGAGTGCTCAATAGCCATTTGTCAGCGGCCCAACCTCAAGAAATGTCTTTTGGGCTGGTAGGAAAAGCTGAGCGGATAATGAGAGCTTGCTGCTGTCACAGCGGATCCGAGTTCGGTTCCTAACATACACAGCAGAAGGCTCCAGCCGCCCGTTTCTAGCTCCAGGGGATCTGACGTCTTTCTCAGGCCCCTCGGAGCAACATCAGTTACCCCGACACGGGCCCGCGAGTATACATAGAATTTTAAAAGAATGTCTTTGGCTCGGCATGGCGGTGCACGCCTGTGAGGGCAGCGCTAGGGATGCAGAGGCAGAAGGATCCCGAGTTCCACGGCTTCATCTCATCAGAGAAAACCCGGACGCAGCGGCCCTGAATGCTTATCGACTCCATCGACACTTGACTTACGAGGCCTGGGTGAGGGAACAGGATCAATCCATTGCTTTTGCCTGCCCGTGAGTGCGGAGCGCTGTGATTGGTCCTTGCGTAGGTAAAGGGACGAGCGCGGGCTGAGGCGAGGGGCTTTCTGGGGAGTCATGGCGTCGCTCCACAGCGCGACTGCGGTCTGCGTGATCTGTCTGGAGAAGCCGAAATACCGCTGCCCGGCTTGCTGCGTGCCCTAGTGAGTCGGCTCGCGGGGGCTGGGCACGGGGTCGGGAGGGAGGCCGGGCTGCGGCCGCTCGCGCTGACGGGCCTGTCTCTCTCGTTCCAGCTGCTCGGTCTCCTGTTTCCGGAAGCACAAAGGTGAGACCCCGGGCCACTGCCGAGCCCGTGGCCCTTCCTTGCACTCGACAGGCCCCTGCTCCGTAATCCCGGCACGCAGGAGCCCGAGGCAGGAGGATGCCCGAGAGTGCAAGGCCGCCTGGCCTGCACAGGTTGAGAACCTGTCCCCAGCCGAAGCAGGACCTGCTTTCTTGGGAAAAGTCTTAGCTGTCTGTTCCGTTCGTCTTGGCATCGTCTTGTTGCAAAAGCCGCCTTGTCTGAAGCGAATTAACCAGCAGTGTTTCTGTCTTTGAATAATGCTTGTTTATTGATTACAACAGGAAGAGGAGTTTTTTTTTTTTTTCCTGTGTGTGGTATTTTGAGACAGGTTTTTTTTGTTTGTTTGTTTTGCCCCCCCCCCCTCGAGACAGGGTTTCTCCGTGTAGCCCTGGCTCTCCCTTTGTAGAGCAGGCTGGCCTCAAAATCAGAGATCCGCCTCTCAAGTACTGGGATTAAAAGCGTGTGCCGCCATGCCCAGATATTTTTATTTTTTATTTTTTTTTTCATATTAGCACTAAGGAAGCAGAGGCAGTTGAATCTCAGAGTTCGAGGCCAGCCTGGTTCCAGGACAGCCATAGAAAACTAAAACAAAACAAAACAAAAAAACAACCCTTACTTAACCCCCCCCCCCTAAAAAAAAAGAAAAGAAAAAAATTAGTTACTGCTGGAAATGTTGTCAGTGGTAGGATTTGAGTAGCATCACTAAGGTCTGGGTCTCATTGGCAGCATGTGTGTTCTTTCTCTGCCCCACTGGCCTCTTTTTTTTTTGTAATGAAGTTCTAGGGCTGGAGAGGTGGTTGAGCAATTAAGTGTGCTTGAAGCTTTTCTAGAGGACCTGAGTTTGGTTCACAGCACCCATATCCCAGGGTTCCCAACCACCTGTGACTCGAGGGCTCTGACTCCCTCTTCTGGCCTCCATTGGCACTGGTACACATGTAGTCTCTGTCTCTGTCCCTGTCCTGTGTTCTCCCAGCCAGGCACAGACTTCTCCCTAAGAACGTTTTCCTTCTGTTTGCCAAAACTTTCTCCTCCGGGCTTCCTCAGGTAGACTTAGACCAGACTCTCCTTAACCTATCCATCTCTGTGAACTCTAAACCCCTCTGGCCTGGGAGCGATGACTTTCACCTCTGGATTCCTAGTAGGACGTGGTATATACATGCATGGTATCCCAAACTACTGAGACATGCTCGTAGAAGTCACTGCCATTAATCCTGGTGAAATTGGGGTGGGGCACGCAGCCACCTGATCTTAAGGTACACAAGCTCAGTCATCTTCCTCAACACCGCTGCCAGACTCTCATGGTTTTCTTTGGCCCCTCGCTCAGTCTGAGCTGCCCCTCCCTCTGCAGCTCTCTGTCCAGTACACATTCTTCCTCCTGGGCCTGTTAGGGGACCTGCCTTGTTACTGTTGTCGAGGGGTTGTGTTTGTGTATGCCTGAAATTTGTGTCTCTCAGAGCAGTGTAACCCTGAAACCCGTCCTGCTGCAAAGAAAGGAACAGTGACACCTGTAAACACAAGGTCTGAGGAAGACAAAGGTGAGGTGGTTGGTTTTTTTTTTTTTGCTTTTGTTGTTCTGTTCTTTTTTTTTTTTTTTTTTTTCGAGACAGAGTTTCTCTGTGTAACCCTGGCTGTCCTAGAACTCACTCTCTAGACCAGGCTGACCTCAAATTCAGAAGATCCACCTGCCTCTGCCTCCCAAATGCTGGGATTAAAGGTGTGCATCACCACTGCCTGGCGTGGGCAGTCAGTTTTAAACAAACAACCTACAAGGGATTTCAAAGATAATAAGTGGAGAGGAAAGGAAAGAGGAGATAGTTGGGGAGTGTACAGAAGGATGGTTTGTTGGGGAGCAATAGCCCTAGTCTTATGGGGGGGGCACAAGTTGTCATAGATGGTGCTGTGAGCATCCTGAAGCATGGTTTTGGGGAGGGGGTTTGGGGTCTGGCGATGTGTTGGGTCCTGGTAGCCCACGTGGGAGTAACTGGGACTCCTTGCTGCTGGAGTCTCCTTAGATACAGTGCAGTAACAGGCTGCCATTCTACTCATACATTTCATGTGTTCATGAATTCGTCTGTCCATAATGCCTCCTGAGTGTCGTGGATCTGCAGGTAACCCCTCTTGTGCCACAAAGAGGTTCTTAAGATTCACACGAAGGGACGGGCCATTTGTCTTTTGAGAAACTTCTAGTATGGACTTGGGCATATCTGTCCTTGCTGAAAGCACGGGGGTTCTGCTTGGCAGGATTTTATAGAGTCTCGTTCACTACCCATCACAGCTCTGGAGTCATGGCAGGGCACCGCAAAACCACACTCCTCGCCTGCAGCCTACAGCCCGCAGGAAGCATGGAGCACCAGCATGTGCTTGTTGGGCGCAGCCACCATTCTGCCCCCTCCCTTCCTGCAAGAGGGAGTGCTCAATGGCGAAACTGCAGGAGTGTGTGTGTGTGGACACAGACAGACAGACAGAGTCAGGTGATTGTTGGGGGAATCTCAAAGCTCTGACCCACTGACAAGAAGGTGCTTCTTCATACAGATTTCACAGAACAGAGACAGACTAATGATTATCCAATTGGTACAGAGTATGTGTTTTCATTACATGTCCAAGGTTACAAGTTCAGTCACAATTGGGAAATACAAACAACATATTTTATTTTTATTATCGGCCCTGTAGAATCTAAAGAATGTCTCCTCCAGCGCAAACGTATTTATTATATGAGAGCCTGCTTTTGGGCTGGCAGTGTTTGTAGTTTCAAAGCACTCAGGCATACAAAAAATATCTGAACTGGTCTTTTCATGAATAGCAAATACTAAGACCTAACTTCTTTTACTGTGTTTCATCATCTCCGCTATAAAGTAGGAAAAGATATTTCAGTCAATCTCTTTTATTTCCTGACTTCTATTCCTCCAGAGGTATACCCCATCTGACTATTTTTAAACTACATTTTCAGAGAGCTCTAAGTATATAATACAGAGACCTTGAATCTGTAACTTAGCCTCCTGTAACCTAGCCTCCTGTTCGGAGTTTGCCGACTGTCTTTGTATACCCTGCACCGGTTATACCGTTTGTTTGCTCGGGGCAGATTCCCCAAAAAGATTCCTGGAGTAATGGCGTCATCTAGCTATGTCTTATCTGTGCTTAATGATTTCTAGGGCATAAGGAAAACTTCCAGAGAGGGCCAGATAAAGTTAATTTTAGGACTTTCCTAAAAAGACTCAGACATAATTACAACAACTGTAATTACAGTTGAAGGGGCTTGTGATACCCTCTTTGGCTTCTGCAGAAAAGACAGAAAATGAGTCAATGCAGAAGTCCCTAAGAATGCACCACACAGAGACCAAAACCCAAACCCAAAAGTTAGGACAGCGACTTCAGCATTTGGCTCAGCCTTGCTGGAACTGTGTCAGACAGCTGTGCTGGCTTCATGACTCGCCATTTCCAGTGGATATGGCTGTGCCATGAAACTAAAGAAGCAAGCTGTTGGTTTCATTTGAGCGTGACTACTGGTCTGCCCCTCACTGTCGTCAACATGGCTGTCCTGGCTCTCTGAGGCCTTGACTGTTGGTTGTGCTCTCCTCAGATGACTCCTCTGTAGCTGACTTCCTCAACAGTGACGAAGAAGAAGACAGAGTGTCTCTTCCGGATTTAAAGAATTTAGGTAAGTCTGTGCTGGGCTTCTTAACTGTTAACCGTTGTATTTACCGCTCTAGAGGTAGTGCAGCCTGGGAAAATGGAGCCTAATGATGAGGTGGACTCAAGTCTCATGAAATAGTCAACTTTATTCAGAGCATATATCAGACAGTTTATACCCTGAGAGTTAAGAGTTACCTGGGGGCTGGAGAGATGGCTCAGTGGTTAAGAGCACTGACTGCTCTTCCAGAGGTCCTGAGTTCAATTCCCAGCAACCACAGGGTGGCTCAGCCATCTGTACTGTGATCTCATGCCCTCTTCTGACATGCAGGTGTACATGCAGACAGAGCACTCATATACATAAAATAAATAATCCCCCCACAAAAAAAAGTCACCCGAGTAAAGTATCTGATCATAAGGACAAGGCATATGCAGAAGGGCAGAAACATGTTTTTCCATAGAGGCATATAAAGAAATAACCAGTCAGTTGTAATGAATAATCTAAAGTGAACTCCTATCAGCTACACATGGGAGGGACGTCAAAGCACATGCCAAGAACAATTTCATATTTTTGATGAAACTGGAGTTACAACTCTTGTTTCTTGAGTTTTCTCACAAGCACCGGATTAAAGGTTCATGCCATCACATTCAGCTTCCACTTACTTGTTGAGACAGGCTCTCTTACCAATTCAGGTAGATTGGCTGGCCAACAAGATACTGGAACCTTCCTGTCTCCACCTCCCTAGTGCTAGGGTTGCAGTGCCCCTCTCCTGGTTTTAAATTACGATGCTGAGGGCTAAACTCAAAGCTTACACAGTGAACACTGTCAACTAAGCCAGCTCTCCAACTCCCAAAAACATTCCATTTTAAAAGGAGAAAAAGGACAGCTAGCAAAGCGGTGGTCATTTGTCTCTTACCAGTGTGGGGCGCAGAGACCTTTACTGTCTTCAGGGTTCAGTTTGCAGCCAGTCTTCAGTACGCACTGGGTAATCGCCAGGGTGGCTCTGTGTTCCCCACATCTTAATAAGGTGTGTCGGTGTGCAGCTAGTGCCCACGCGTGCAGGCGCCACACAAGCCAGAGGAGCCAGAGCCTCCTGGACGTGTTGGAGGCCACCTGACTTGGGTACTGAAAATTGAACTTGGGTCCTCTTAAAGAGGACGTGTTAACTGCTGAGCCATCTCCAGCCCAGTTCCGCACATTTTTGTAGCAGCACTGCTTTGGTCCTTGTGCTATTCTCACCTGGTGTGGGTATGTACACACAAGCCAGAGGAAGCATTGAGAGTCCCTGTCATTCTCCACTGTACTCCTGTGAGGTAGAGTCTCTCACTGAGCCTGGAGCTCACAGCTTGGCTAGCCTGGCAGGTGGCAGCCCCGTGACCCACCTGTCTCTGCCTGGCCCAGTGCCGGGATTACAGGTGTGCCTCTGACCATGCTTACCCTTTAAGTGGGTGCTGAGATAAAACACTGGGCTTCATGCGTTTCACAGCAAGCACTCTTCACTGTTGTCATCTCCAGCTCAGCTCTTCTTTGTTCATATGTACATTGAAGTTAATTTGTGAATACAGTCATCTCTCTGATGTCCAAGGCAGCTTGGTTCCAGGACCTGTTTCTCACAGATGGTCAAGTCCCTTTTACAAAGTGGTGTAATGCAACTGATGCACTTTAAATTGACTAACCCAATTGGATGCAAGTAAATGTGTAGCTGTAATAAGGAAAAACTTCACAATTGGTACAGATGATGGTAAAATGTTTTTGTTTTTTGAGACCAGGGTTTCTCTGTGTAGCTCTGGCTGTCCTGGAACTCTGTAGACCAGGCTGGCTTTGAACTTAGAGATCCGTCTACCTGTGCCTCCTGGGTGCTAGGATTAAAGGTATGCGTTAAGAGGTTTTGAGGATGTACAGTCTGAGGATGTGGGGGTGAAGCAAGATGATAAAGGAGATGTAAGCCCCTCACAATTGATCACACTGGAAACACTTAGCTTCCAGCCACTGCCACAGGTTCCCCCTTGAACTGAAAGCTGGCTTTGATTTTTAAGGTGAGTCTGCAACTTTAAGAAGCTTACTGCTCAACCCACACCTGAGACAGATGCTGGTTAATCTCGACCAGGATGACAACAAAGCAAAGCTGATGAAAGCCTACATGCAGGAGCCCTTGTTCGTGGAGTTTGCAGACTGCTGTTTAAGAATCGTGGAACCTTCCCAGAAGAGGGATTCTTAAGAGATGTGTTCTTTGCTCACGCTGCCCACTGCTCCTCCTAGGAGGTTGTCTCAAGACCGTTCGTTCCAGGACATGTGATGGAGTCTTCGCCTGTCACACGGCTTGCCTCAGACATGTGGGGGACCCTCAAGGTGCAGAGCTTTTATGAAGAGGAGACTTGTAGCCCTGGAGTGAGGGCTCAGTGGTTAAGAGCACTGGTTGCTCTTCCAGAGGACCCCAGTTTTCAGCACCCACATGACTCCTTACAACAACTGTAATTACAGTTGAAGGGGCTTGTGATACCCTCTTTGGCTTCTGCAGGTACTGTATGCAAGAGCTACACAGCCATACATGCACGCAGAACTCCCACATACATAAAATATAAAAAATTTAAAGCCACCATCTAAATATAAATAGCCATGTTTCTTTTTTTATTTCTGGTACAGTTCAGAGTTACATCATAAATATCAACTGTATCCATTAGAATTAAAAACTGATGTTTAGTAACTTATGTTACTAAAGAAATTTAAAATGTGGTTCTGTTGTACACTATATTCATTGTTCTTGGTAACATTAAATAAATCAATTTGTTAAATACTATTGTTCCCTTGATGAACTATATGCAAATTTTCCTCCAGCCAAAATTCTAGAGCTAGTTTTAGGGTGACTTGGCCCCCTTAAAGTGCTTGTGGATAGCCCAGTGTCCGTCCTGCTGTAGCGACAGCATTGAGGATGGCTAGTCAGGGCTGCTGAATGTGAACCTGAGCCTGAAGACGGTAAGCTGGCACATGGTGGTCCTAATCCTGGCTTGATAACTAGCTCCCCCAGATCCTGCCAGTGCTGAGGCGATACCCTGGCGGGCTGGTACTCCGGCCACAAAGCCCTGGCTCACAGACTGGAACTTGCTTGCACGTGCAGTTGGAGTCCTGTGGGAATAGCTTGGCAGCAGTGTGTTGGATCAGATGTCTCTGGAAAGGCGGCTGGCAAGAAAAGGCCTTGTGGAGACAAAGGCACCAAAGATCACTCAGGCAGGTGGGGGAACAAGAGTCACACTTGGACTGGCCTGTGTCTTTCTAGCAGAATCTGATTAAAGCCAGCAACACTAGAGGCTGAAGGTTCAGGGCAGATGTCTGCATACTGAAGTGGAGACTTCCTGCAGTGAAACTTGACCGAGCCCTAGGGAGAAAGAGATACACCCAGTGAGTGGCAGGGCCCAAAGATACCTCAAACCCAGGAATAAAATCCCACATCCATACATGGAGAGACAGGAGCCTGTTACTCTAAGGGTATTTATTATTATAAGTCTGTCATCCTGTGACTGACAGATAGCTGGAAGATCACAACCCTTCTGCTTATTCCTAGTCAATCTCAGGGAGATTCTATATGGATCATACAGCAGCTTGTTGACTATTTCTTTCCTCTGGTCCCTCGTACCAGCCTTACAGAGGAGAAAATGGAGGGGTTCTGCGATCTGCTTTCAGATCGTAGTAGATCTGAAAGTAGAGCAGGCTGACAACACAAAGGACTCGGCCACACACTTACTACTTCTTGTTGAGAAAACGACAACCAGTAACCAAGTGATAAAATCTGAGGAAACTGCCAAATGCAGTGTCACTGGAGGTGACAAATTATGACCACACTCGTTTCTTAGAAGTGGGACTAATTATGTCCTAGTTAACTATGCCTCTCTTTAATTTTTTACACCTACTCTGTAAGGTGCTGCTCACGTCTGTCTGATGAGGACACAGGGTTGAGACACGTTCCTAACTGAAGATCTCATTGCAGAGGAAGAGCCAAACACTCAAAGGCAATGTTTGGAATCGGTTTTAAAACTGAGGGTCTCAGCCAGCCCCTGGCAGATAGAGGCAGGTGGATCTCTGAGTTTCAGGCCAGTCCGGTCTATATACAGCAAGTTCTAGGACAGCCAGGGTTACACAAAGAAACCCTATCTATGGAAACAAATAACGAAACAACTGAAGGTGTCTGAAGATTGCCACTTTGTAGTTGAGACAGTGGCAATAATCTGCACTTGTAGATTTTGGCTTACCTGGCAGGGTTAGGGAGTCTTGTGCTGTTCCCGCAGAGATGGGCAAGCCTCCCTTCTCACTGAGTAGTGTGGAGCTGTAGGAAGGACTACCACAGCATAGACTGAGAACATACCTGAGGCAGGGCTCTGATGGACGTAATTCCCGCCTGAGCTTGTTGTGCTGTCTGGACTTTGCTGGCGCTGACTGGGGGAAGCCGGAGGCAGGCATGGGCTACCAGCTTCCTCTGAAAGCCACGCGTACCCACAGCTGAGTTGGCTAGCACCAGTCCCAGAGGCCAGAGGTGAATTATTGCTCCCAGGAGCTTAGAGTGTGCTCGGGGCAGCGAGGAGCTCAGGGAACCAGGAGCTTGAGTCATGAGGTTCTCTTCCATACCGTCCAGTTCTTTAGAGGCAAGACAAGCCATTCTGATCTTAAAGAGAGAAAACGTTCCTTTATGGCTTTAGGTTTGCCAGCCCTCTTCCGAAAGAATTTACTTTTACATTCATTTATTTGACATAGTGGCATGCTACAGTGGGCATGTGAAGAAAGGACAACTTGTGTGTCCTGGTGATTGAACTCGGGTGGTTAGGATTTAGCTCTCTTTAGAAAAATAAAATAGCTGGGTATGGTGGCACATGTCTTTAATCACAGCACTCAGCTGGTCTACACAGTAAGTTCTAGGACAGCCAGGACTACACAGAGAAACTATGTCTTGAAAAATAAAAGAAAACAAACAAAATAATTTGTTTTTGTGTATATGTATGTGTGTGGGCATGAACATGCCCTGGTATGCTCGGGGAGGGAGGTCAGAAGAGTTTGTCCCCTGCTGTGAGGGGGCCTGGGCTCAGACTCAGGTGGGCCAAGCTGGGCAGCAGGCTCCTGTACCTGCTGAGCCATCTTACTAGCTCTTTCTACCACTGACTGGAAAATAAGCAGCTTGACAAGGTAAACTGAAGGCTGTGGCTGTGATGCCTTGAACTAGACCGGCTCCATGTGGCAGAATATAAAGAAACTGCAATTCCCATTGGCAATTTTGTTCCTAGGGCACATATGCCACTCCACTTCCACAACCACCCTGTAATGTCTGTGCCCATCTCATCATACAAGAGGACACAAGGCTGAGAGGCTGCGTGGCCTGCCAACATGCCCACACCGCAGTGGCAGACTTTCCCTCAGGCCTGTCAGAGACCTGGTCTCTAAGTATTGCCCACCCTGGGCCTCCAGTCATACTCACTCTCCACGCGTGCCATGCTCGCTTGATGACTGTGGCAGCTGTGTGTAACCTTCTGATGTGTGTCCGAGTTAACCAGGACCGAACAGCTACAGAAATGGCAGACATCAAAAACACCATTAGATTTATTAGTCATGTGGTCAACACCGGAGGGAAAGTATGAAATTGTTCTAGTGATACATTATGTCAACACACAAAGCAAGACAGGGCTTAAGACTCACTCTAGGGGCTGGAAAGATGACTCAGTGTTTAAGAGCACTTAGTGCTCTTGCAGAGCACCCAGATTGGTGTCCCAGCACCCACATGGTGGTTTGCAACCTCTTTTGACTCCAATTCAGAGAGCTGATTCCCTCTTCTAGCCACCCAGGGCATCTGCACGCACATGGTACACATAAACAGCTTGTCTGTCTCTCTCACACACATACACAAAGTAAAACAAAATCTTGAACAACAAAACCACTGCCTACCATCTTGCAGATACCCAAACACTGAGGGTCACTTGGGAGCTCTAATTGCCAAGGACCCAGGCTGCTACCCATCTCAGACTCAGTCTTCAGCAGTGATCAAGGAGCAAGAGTGATCTGGGTTATCTGTGCCTTTGAAAATACTTTGGTTTGTGTGGGCATGTAGTTCTGTGGAATAGCACTTCTCGAGCATGAGTAAAATCCTGGGTTTGATTCACAGCACTCCAAAAAGAAATTACACTTTTTTTTTTTTTTTTTTTTGAGGCAGGGACTCTATGTGGCCCAAGCTGGAATCAAACTTCAGATCCTCTTGTGTCTGCCTCCCAAATGCTGGGCTCACTTGGCCTTGGGTTGTTCTGACATTTTCATTTTTCAAAATAAGCCTGTCAGAACTGTGTTGGCCATACCCATTACATGGAACCAGCCTCAGTAATAGGCTCCACCTACCTGCCTGAATGAGCACAGCAGCCTGCCTCTGTTTCTCCTGCTTTTGTTGAAGGTATCTCCTCCAGCCACACTGGATGCAGCGGGCACACTGCTCCAGCATCTGGGCACGCCCACATTCCAGAAGCTCTAGCTGAGAGAAGGGGAATCTACTGAGGTCCTTGGCCTCTCCTCCTTCCACCCTGAGGAGGGCATACACCTGCAGCTGGTACCCGTAATCCCATCCCCCAGCCAGTTTACCATGGAGTCAGTCATAAAAATCTTTGTCCTGCCACAGTACAGTGGGATTTGTGTGGCCTTAGCTGGGTCACTGGGAGTGGGCGCTGTCTGAATTAAAGCCGGCAGAGCATGGAGGATGTCTTGTAGTAGAGGTTGCAATGTGGCCTCCTTGGCACACAGAGGCTGCTCTGGGGGTGGGAAAAAGGCTTCATCAGTCCCTGCTTTTCCACATGCTCTGTAGCCTGTGATCTCTCTAGAGCTCTCTAAGCCTTTCTTACTGTTCTAGATCTAGTCATTTCTTCCTTAGCCCCCTTTGTGGGTAGAGGTAGCCCCTAGAGTCCTGGTTGATTGGGAGTGTCTTGAAGCCTCCACTGCCCTATGTCTCCTTGGACAGGGTGGCAAGAGGGACTGGAAGCATGAAAGAGGGAATCCCAGGCTGCTTGGCCACTTCCTCAGCCCCACCCCTTCCCTTCCCAGTCAAAAGAGAACAACATACCCAGCTATGTGAAAGCCCTCCTAGGCTTGCAGGGCTGCTGCCTTCTGTGTGGGAGGATTTACCCAAGGGCTCTGACCACAGTTAGCTGCCCAGAGCCTCTCTGAAGACAGAGGCCACCAAAGCAGATGCTGGAGACGAGAGGTGAGAGACATCCACAAAATGGACCAGGGCCCAGAAGGAGAGACAGGAGAGCAAACCATGGAGAGAGGAGAAAGAAAGGGAGAGGGAAAGGGAAAGTGACACAACTCCCCAGGAGGATGAGAGCTCACTGATGGGCCCAGAAGAGGGCTGAGATTTGTTCTTGTCTGTCCCTCCACCTGCTCCTGAGCCTTACCATTCCCACATTCTCAGCTATGGACAGCTACACTGTGTCTACCAACTTCTCAGTCACAACCAGGTTAGACTTTTGCACAAGTGCCTTGTACCTGTCTCCTCTTGATGCCTCCTGGGAGGTGGAGCTCAGGCAATGTCCAGATTCCTCATATCTCCCTTCTTTCTCTCTTCCCACTGGCGAGGCCGGGCTCACCTGCATTTGTCTACCCCTGTATCTGTATGGAATCATGCCTTCCAACACTGACCAGTTTGCCCACTTACTACTCAGCTGCCTGCAGTTCTGGCTTCTCCACTTGAGTGGCTTCACAATCTCACTCCCAGGACCTTCTACAAGGCCCCTAGAGTGGATGAACGCGTGAGGCGGATATAGCACTGGCTGTCCCC